AGCAATGGGGGAAGCTCCATTACCATGGTGAGGTCTCGGGGGCTGGTTTCTTCATCCCATCTGAGCTCTTCCACTTCATGCTCTGGCTTTGGCCTTTCTGAAGAGCAAGGGGGACACAGGAGAGTCAATGGGATATAGGGGAGTCAATGGGACACAGGAGAGTGAATGGGGTACAGGAGAGCCAGTGGGATACGGGAGAGTCAATGGGACACAGGAGAGTGAATGGAGTAGAAGAGAGCCAGTGGGAGATGGGAGCGTCAACGGGACACAGGAGATTCAGTGGGGTACGGCAGGGTCAATGGGACATAGGAGAGTCAATGGGACATAGGAGAGTCAATGGGATGCAGGAGAGTCAGTGGGACACAGGAGAGTCAATGGGACACAGAAGAGCGAATGGGGTACCAGAGAATGAATGGGGTACAGGAGAACCAATGGGACACAGCAGAGTCAATGGGACACAGGAGAGTGTATGCAGTACAGGAGAACCAATGGGATATGGCAGAGTCAATGGGATACGCAAGAGTCAATGGGACACAGGAGAGCCAATGGGATACAGGAGAGTGAATGAGACAGGAGAGTCAATGGGATACAGGGGAGTCAATGGGACACAGGGGAGTCAGTGGGACACAGGGGAGTCAATGGGATACAGGAGAGTGAATGAGACAGGAGAGTGAATGAGACACAGGAGAGTCAATGGGATTCAGGGGAGTCAATGGGACACAGGGGAGTCAATGGGACACAGGGGAGTCAGTGGGACACAGGGGAGTCAATGGGACACAGGGGAGCCAATGGGAGGAGTTGGGGGAGCCCATCATGACCTCTGATACCTTCCTGCTCCAGGAGGTACTGATGGAGGCTGCAAAGAGCATCCAGGGCTGGGGAGCTTGTCCTGTCCTCAGCAAAGCAGAAGAGGAGGAGGTGGCCCAGGAGATGGCCCAGGAGTGGGACTGGGAGCTGCGCTGAGGGGAAGGAGCTGAAGTGTCTCCTCCAGGTCACGTGCAGCTTCTGGGGAGGGAGAAAGAGCAGGAACAAAAGGTGAAGAACCCAAAGAATGAGGAAGAAAGAAAGGAGAAAGAGGAGGAGAAGGAGGAGGAGAAGGAGGAGAAGAAGAACTGAAGGAGGAGAAAGAAGAGAAGGGGAAGGAGGAGAAGGAGAAAGAGAAGGAGAACGATGAGGAGAAAGAAAGAGAAGGAGGAGAAGGAGATGGAGGAGAAGGAGAAGGAGGAAAAGAAGGAGGAGAATGAGAAGGACCAGAAAAAGAACTTGAAGGACAACAAAAGAAGAAAGAAGAATGGAGAAGGAGGAGGAGAAGGCAAAACAAGGAAAAAGACCAGAAGAACCTGAAGGAGAATGAAAGAAGAAAGAAGAAGAAAGGAAAAGGAGGAGAAGGAGAAGAAGAAAGGAGCAGGAGCAAGAGGAGGAGCAGGGGGACTGGCAGGAGCAGGAGCAGGGGCAGGAGCAGGGGCAGGAGCAGGAGGAGGAGCAGGAGCAGGAGGAGGAGCAGGGGCACGAGCAGGAGGAGGAGCAGGGGCAGGAGCAGGAGCAGGAGGAGGAGCAGGGGCACGGGCAGGAACAGGAGCAGGCAGACTCAGGATGCTCTGCAGGTCCCCGTCTCCCCGTGCACGGGTCGCTCTCGGCCACCTCGGTCCTGCCGGGTCCTTACCCAGCGCTTGCGGTGGTGCAGCAGCAGCTGGGTCAGGGCCGCGATCCTGCCCAGGGCCGTCTCCCTCACGGCGGGGCTTCGGGAGCCGCTGAAGCGCAGCAGGACCTGGGCAGGGGGAGAAGCCGCAGGTGAGCCCCGGAGCTGCGGCAGGGGCTGGACTTGCCCCGCTTCCATTGCAGCTCCCGCTGAGCATCACCGCGGGGCGGGCAGGGATGGAGGCAGCGGCACGGGAAGGGATGCAGGGGGTGAGGGCTTGGTCCTCCCGCTGTGGGTGATGCCCCGGCTGCAAGGACCAAGGCACGGCCCCGCTTCCAGGGCTGGGCTGGAGCTGGCGGTGAAAATCAGTGCCTCAGCACTGCCCCTGCCCTGGGGCTGCAGGGGCGTTGGGTCCTTTCCAACCCAGCCCGCTCTGTGCTTCTCCGATTACAGTGTACGTGTAAATGCATGTGAATAGGAATAGAGCCATAGAGCTGAATAGGAATAGGAATAGAGCCATAGAGCTACATAGATATAGGGTAAGTATAAATATCATAGAATTATAATTATGAACATAGATATAGATATATAAATATTCATATAAATATAAACATAAATATGAATATAGGAATATCAAAATATAGATATGCACATAAATATAAATACAAACATTAACACATATAAATAAATATAGGGTTAGATATAAATATAGATATTAATATGAGTAGAAACGAAAATACTAATATAAATATTAAACAATACAAATGTCTACTTATAAACATATATAGTAATATTAATATCAGTATTAATATAGTAATATTAATATAGATATATCTAAATAATAATATCGCTATTCATCAATATTGCTATTATTAATTTTTCAATATTAATTGTAGATAGCTATATAGAAATAGAAATAGATATAAATAGATATAAATATATCCAAATATATAAGTAGATACAAATATATATACATATATACATTTATATACACATATATACACATATACGTATATACACGTATGTACAAATATACATATATCTACACATATATGTGCATAGAAATACATATATACATATATACACACATATATATACATATATATACATACACCTATATATACATATATATACTTATAACAGACAAATTCCTCCTCTAAAGACCTCTTTAGGCAACAGTTCAGGGCAAGGGAACCAGTCCATGGGCCCCAGCAGCCTGGTCCCAGCCCGTGGTACCAGGAGGCAGCAAAGACCCTATCCCGGGGAGGGCTCAGCCTCCTGATGTGGTGTCCCTGCCCCGAGCTCTGCGGGCAGCGACCGCCACTCCCTGCAGCCCCCGTGCTCCAGGAGGGCCTTGGGTTACCCAGGGGAGGGGGGGGACATGGCTCTGGGGGGCCCCATGGGTGAGGAGCAGCCCCCGTGCACCCCGCTCTGCACAGGCCAGACCTGCAGGATGCTCTGCAGCTCCTCGCCGCCCCTGGGGTCAGGAGAGTTGAGCACCAGCCTCCAGAGCATGTTATCCATGGACCGCAGTGCCTGCAGGGACAGAGCAGAGCCCTTCAGGTACCTACGGGGCTTCAACTGTGGGCATCCCATAGCCCCAGCGCTCCAAAGGGAGCTGCGGGCTCCTGGAGCTCCTTACTCGGTAGTAGTAGTAGGCATCCCGGACTGAAAACTCCTCATGCAGAGACAGGAAGAAGACCCTCCTGCAGCAGGTCTCTACGATGTGTCTCCCTTGGTCCGCAAGCCCTGACTGCACTGAGCTGCAAAGGGAAGATGGCTCCGGTTGGATGCTGGTGATGGGAGCAGTGGGGTTCCCAGGAGGGATGTGCAGTTGTGGTACCTCAGTTCCGCTATCGCATTCATGGTGAGATGCCGCAACTTCGTGCGCAGCTGGCTCATGGGCTGCTCTTGGAGCAGTGTCTACAGAGCACAATGGGGATAAGGGACCTGGGAGTCCACCAATGCTGCCCTCACCGGGTGCTGGAGGCCTTTGCCCCATAGCATCCCCATGGGGGTCCCTTCACCTGGATGGTCTCTGCGAGGTGGGTCTTGTGGCAGAAGACATCCAGGCCCTGTTGCAAGCCGCAGAACCTGGCGGTGCTCAGCAGGGAGCAGACGCTCTCAAGGAATCCAACCATTTCATGCTCAGACTGGAAACCAGGGAGGATGGAGGCACAAACGGGGAGTATGAGAGGGGACGGGGTACTGGAGCGCTAGGGGTAAAGACAGCACCCAACAGCACCCATCAGCATCGCAGTGGCCGTGCTCACCGTGGCTGGGGTGATGACAAAGGCCTCGATGCGCTCCACATTGTCCCGCTCCAGTGCGTACACGGGTAACCAGCTGGCATCTAACGGAGGAAGAGGAGAGGTTTGGAGTGCAGAGGAAGCTCTGCCCCCCCCCACCAGCGTCCAAGGAAAGTGGTGCTGGTCATAAAGTCATGGAATCATGGAATGGGTTGGGCTGGAAGGGACCCGCAGATCATCCATTGGGTTTTCCAACCCAACCCCTTCTATGGCTCTATGATCCGATGTCACCAAGGCTGTGTCCAACCTGGCCGTGGATGGAGCATCCACCCTGTGCCAGCACCTCACCCCCTCCATAGGGAACAACTTCCTTCTATCCAAACGGAACTTCCCCTGTTCCAGTCTGAACCCATCTCCCCTTGTCCTGCTCCCACACCAATGCTCACCAGTCCTCAATGGCACGACCAGGGTTTCCTCACAGGACTCCAGTGAAGAGATGCTCCCCTCCGGAGCCTCATCCCTCTCCCAAGCCTGCCCAGGGGATCTGGGGGCTCTCTCCATTATCCCGAGGGATGCAGGAAAGGGATCAGGATAGCGAAGGGGAAAGCTTGGACCAAACGTAACAGGGCTTGAGCTCAGAAGCAACCCAGTGGCTCCTTCCTCCTGCTCTTTCCTGTCACTGTCTGCTCCCCTGAGCAAAGCACTCAAGTAGGGTGACACAAATGAGGTCACAAAGGGCCCCGTTTTGACCTGTTGCCATGGTGACCCACCTGGGTTCTAGACTGAGGCTGTGGAAGAACTTGCTGCAGGGCCATGAACTGGGGCTGTCACCCAAAGCAGCATCCCTGCACCCCAACATGCTGGGTGTGGGCACCCTTCCTTATGGGGCTCAATAAAGATGGGGTTTGGGCTCATATAGGGGTGCCAGCAGTGTTGGGGGGGATGGAGATGCCTGTGGTTGATTGGATTTTGGGGTACCATGCAGTTTTGGGGTAGTTTAGGGGTAACATGAGGATTGGAAGGGATGGAGAAGCCTGGGGTTGGTTGGGTTTTGAGGTACCATGTACTTTTGGGGTGGCTTAGGGCTACTGGGATGGATAGAGGTGGCTGAGGCATGGTGGGTTTCTGGGTACCAGATGGGTTATGGGATGCTTTAAGGGTACCAGGGCTATTGGGAGGAGTGGGAACGTTGGGTGTGATGCAGGTGCCTGGGACTGAGGTGAACCAGGACCCTCACGTGAGGACACGGAAGCTGTGGGTCTGCGGGGGTGGCAGAGCTGTAGGGTGGGCATCAGGTCCCATGGGTCTGTGGTGCCCGTGGAGGGTGCTGCATCTGCAGAGCTCCTGCAGGTGATGGAAGGCCCTTGAAGGAAGCTGCTGAGAGCCAGGCTGAGAAGAGTGGGGATGGAGAAATGGAAATGAAAATGAAATGAAATTATAGGATGTGATGCTATAACATGATGTAACATGATATAACATGATAAAACATAATATGTTACATGATATGATGCAAGATACGCTATGAGATGAGGAGGATGAAATGAAATGAAACAAAATGACACCAGACGGACATGAAATGGAAATGAAATGAAATGAAATATAATCAAATTATATAATATGGTATGGTACGGTACGGTACAGTAAGCATAATACTCTATGATAGAGAAGATATGCTATGATATGCTACAATATGATATATGATATGATGGTGTGGTATAGTGTGGTATGACATGATCAGATATGATAGATTATGATAAAATATGATACGATATGATAAGATATGATATGACATAATGTTTTTTGAGAGGAGAGGCACAGCAACGGCCCTGCTTTTATGCCCGGCTGCGTTACGCAGGCGCCGGTGCTTTGTGATGTCATAAACCATGGGTGACGTCACAATCAGCTTTGGGAGCTCAGGTGCCCTGAGGTGGGAATGTGAGCAGGAGAACTTGAGCATCTTCCTGCATTTCCTGTGCTTTGATGGATCCATCCCTGCAAGCAGCCCCAGAGCTCGCTCTTGTGCATTTCCAGGTGGACCTTGGCAGGGGAGGAGCCTCCAGCCCCTTTGCCACGGGAAGCCCCATCCATTGATGGACGCCGTTAATGGAGGAGCAGCCCCAGCCACGCAGGGATGGGGATGCAGCAGGATTAGGCTCAGCTCCCTGGGGGCTGACCCATGGTGCTGCCCCTTTGCCTCAGCACGTACCTATAGTGCTTGCTTATAGGCTTCATCTGATGGGAGTCAAGTCTTGGGAAACGGGAGAGGTGCCTGAGGACTGGAGGAAAGCAAATGTCACTCCAGTCTTCAAAAAGGGCAAGAAGGAGGACCCGGGTAACTATAGACCGGTCAGCCTCACCTCCATCCCTGGGAAAGTGATGGAACACCTTATCCTTGGTGCCATCTTAAGGCATATCAAGGATAAGAGGGTTATGAGGGGCAGTCAACATGGCTTCACCAAGGGGAAATCATGTTTGACCAATCTCTTAGCCTTTTATGAGGAAATAACACGGTGGATGGATGATGGCAGAGCGGTGGATGTGGTCTACCTTGACTTCAGCAAAGCATTTGACACAGTCTCCCACAGCATCCTCACAGCTAAATTGAGGAAGTGTGGTCTGGGTGATCAGGTAGTGAGGTGGACTGCGAACTGGCTGAAGGAGAGAAGCCAGAGAGTTGTAGTCTATGGGGCGGAGTCTAGTTGGAGGCCTGTAACTAGTGGAGTGCCTCAAGGGTCAGTACTGGGACCGGTATTATTTAATATATTCATCAACGATTTAGATGAGGGAATTGAGTGTACTATCAGCAAGTTTGCTGATGACACTAAGCTGGGAGGAGTGGCTGACACGCCAGAAGGCTGTGCTGCCATCCAGAGAGACCTGGACAGGCTGGAGAGTTGGGCAGGGAGTAACTTGATGAAGTATAACAAAGGAAAGTGTAGAGTCCTGCATCTGGGCAGGAACAAACCCAGGTTCCAGTACAGGTTGGGGAACGACCTGTTAGAGAGCAGTGTAGGGGAGAGGGACCTGGGGGTCCTAGTGGACGACAGGATGACCATGAGCCAACACTGTGCCCTTGTGGCCAAGAAGGCCAATGGCATCCTGGGGTGTATTAGAAGGGGGGTGGTTAGTAGGTCGAGAGAGGTCCTCCTTCCCCTCTACTCTGCCCTGGTGAGACCGCATCTGGAGTATTGTGTCCAGTTCTGGGCCCCTCAGTTCAAGAAGGACAGGGAGCTGCTGGAGAGAGTCCAGCGCAGGGCAACGAAGATGATTAAGGGAGTGGAACATCTCCCTTATGAGGAAAGACTGAGGGAGCTGGGTCTCTATAGTTTGGAGAAGAGGAGACTGAGGGGTGACCTTATAAGTGTCTATAAATATATAAAGGGGGAGTGTCACGAGGATGGAGCCAGGCACTACTCAGTGGCAAACAAGGATAGGACAAGGGGTAATGGGTACAAACTGGAACACAAGAGGTTCCACTTAAACTTGAGAAGAAACTTCTTCTCAGTGAGGGTGACGGAACACTGGAACAGGCTGCCCAGGGAGGTTGTGGAGTCTCCTTCCCTGGAGACATTCAAAACCCGCCTGGACACATTCCTGTGTAACCTTATCTAGGTGTTCCTGCTCCGGCAGGGGGATTGGACTAGATGATCTTTTGAGGTCCCTTCCAATCTCTATCATACTGTGATACTGTGATACTGTGAACCCGCAGCACCCACAGAGCCCACAGCACCCACTGTACCCCCAGCACCTATAGCAACTACAGCACCCCCACCACCCATAGAGCCCACAGCACCCATAGCATGCATTGCACCCATACCACCCCCACCACTGCCAGCAACCACAACAGCTCCAGTGCACCCAGTCATCCCAGCACCTATGGAAACCCCAGCACCCACAGAACCCCCAGCACCCTCAGCACTATATAGCTCCGGTATCGGGGTCCTAGTGCCCGCCCGCTGCCTCCCGCAACGGTGTCCTAGTGCCAGCCCGACGCCTCGCGCATCAGGGTCCTAGTGCCCGCCTGCTGCCTCCTCCCTGTCAGGAACCGGTCCCAGGCCCCGCCCCCTATGGCTCCGGAATCAGGGTCCTAGTGCCCGCCTGCTGCCTCACGCATCAGGGTCCTAGTGCCCGCCTGCCGCCTCCTGCCTGGCAGGGACAGGTCCCAGGCCCCCCCCAATAACTCCGTGCCGCAGAAAACACACGGACTCAGAGATCAATATAATCAGACAAAAGCCATTTTTTACAGAGCCGTAACTCCTTATATAGTATTTCTTACATGCACTTACAGTGATTTGGCATATTATGATTGGATCCATATCTCGAAGACCCTTTGTAACTAACATATAATTGGTTAAGCACAGGTGTGAGAACTTGACCTCGAAAGCTTGCCAACAGTCCACAGTTCTCATTACCTCAGTGAATTCCAGCTTCTTCTTATTGTCGTGGTTTAAACCCAGTCAGGTAACTTGTTCACTCACTCCCAGCGAGTGGTGCCGAGCTGACAACAATCAAGGTCCGTGTCCGTCTCCCCCCCCCCGCACCGGGGCTCTCCCCTTCCCCGCTCCCGGAGGAACGGGGAGGAAGATCGAGAGAGTGCAACTCCCACGGGTTGAGACAAGAACAGTCCAGCAACAAATCACCACCGCTACTATCAGCTAAAACAATGATAAGGGAAAATAACAAGGGAACAGAATACGATACCACCGGCCAAGAAAACGAGTTCCACCCGGAAGCTCCTGTCCTTCCGGGTAACTCCCAGTTACCCCCCACCCCGGGCATGACGTGCTGTGGTATGGAATACCTCCCCGGCTAGCCCGGGTCAGGCGCCCCGTCTCTGCCTCCTCACAGCTTCCCTTCCTCCCTGGCAGAGCATGAGCCCCACAGAGTCCTTGGTCAGGGTAAACATCACTTAGCAACAACCGAAAACATCGGCTTCACCAACACTGTTCTCAAGCTAGAAGTCAAAACACAGCACTGCACTAGTTAACACAAAGGAAAAAACATGACTGCTACTGCTGAACCCAGGACATTATCCACCCCTTATTCCATACCATTCACGTCGTGCTCAGATCCCACATTTTCAATACACCATCGCTCTCCCACATATATACATCCATATACATACAGACCAAGAGGAAAAAATCATTTTCTTAGTGCATGGACCAATCCCTATAATGCTGCCGAGTCCATTCGGTCCATGATGTTCCAAGTTCATTCTCTGTTGGGATGATGGCTGGAGGGAAGTCAGGGCCAGTCGCTGGTGACCTGGAGACATCTAGTTGATGGGCTATAAAAGCATTACACAGCAGGCAACAGCATACAATTGAGTTCACTGGCTGTTTTCCCCTAAAATCAAATCCCCTTGAGGTATACATCGGACTTCCCCATCTTCCCGCATTACCTACCAAGTATATCCAGGTCCCTGAGCAAAAGCAATCCCACGAGTGGGTTTGCCTTTACCTGAAGCAGGAATAACCCAGACTGTCTTCCCCAGCAAATTCTTCATATGCACCACGGGAACTTTGTCCCCCTCTACAATATGTAAAAGTTCTGACTGGGCTGGGCCAGCCCTGTTGGCAGATCCTCTGGTGTTGACCAACCAGGTGGCCTTTGGTAAATGTGTATCCCAATGCTTGAAAGTTCCCCCACCCATCGCTCTCAGTGTAGTTTTTAACAGCCCATTGTACCGTTCGATTTTCCCAGAGGCTGGTGCATGGTAGGGGATGTGATATACCCACTCAATGCCATGCTCTTTGGCCCAAATATCTATAAGGTTATTTCGGAAATGAGTCCCATTGTCTGACTCAATTCTCTCTGGGGTGCCGTGTCGCCACAAAATCTGTTTCTCAAGGCCCAGGATAGTGTTCCGGGCAGTGGCATGGGGCACAGCGTATGTTTCCAGCCACCCAGTGGTTCCTTCCACCACGGTAAGCACATGGCGCTTGCCTTGGCGGGTTGGTGGCAGTGTGATATAGTCAATCTGCCAGGCCTCCCCATATTTATACTTCAACCATCGTCCTCCATACCAAAGAGGCTTTAACCGCTTGGCTTGTTTAATTGCAGCACACGTTTCACACTCATGAATAACCTGGGCAATAGTGTCCATTGTTAAGTCCACCCCTCGGTCACGGGCCCATCTATATGTTGCATCTCTGCCCTGATGGCCTGAAGTGTCATGGG